CATGTGGACTGAAACAAATAAAGCCCTCCAGCAACACCAATAAGCCAAACAAGTCGAAATGTGAAAGGGTGGAATCAGGAAGGACACTATAGACCATGTTTCTTACAAGAGAAATAATGGACAATAACATACTCTGTCTCAAAACTTTCATAGTAACCCCTGTGTCTAAGATCATGCCATCTGTAACAAGGTCAGCTCAACTTCTTCCGTTCTAATTTTGAAGCCTTTTATTTCTTTTGAAGTACCTCTTGATCCATTCTATCCTAAAATATTAGGATATTCTATACTAATATATTTTTTTTGTCTTCACTTATTCTTATCCATTCATTTCCCCTCATCTGTTCATTTCCTCCCTCAACACACTCAAGTTTTCCTACAGAACAACAGGAATTTGCTCTTTGGCATGTGAATGAATATTCCATCACTTTCTATAACTTCATTTGAGAGTTATCAACTATTTGTGATTCATCAATTCTAAAAAATTTGGGTTCTTCGAAGGATTTTAATGTGGTTTTCACAAAATACAAAAAAAAAAAATTATATGCTTGTGTTAGGAAAGAATAAAAGATCAAAATTTCTGTGAAAGAATGATTCCAGATCCAAACTCTCCTGCCTGCTCAAAAAGGATATCCACAAAACTAGCTCTGTCACAAGAAGAAAAGATTATTCCGATTTCTTCTGATAGTCAACTCTGACCCTAATGCAAGGCTGTGCTAAACAGATAACCTATTTCTGTTCCTTTTATGCACAAATTTCAAAGTGCAAATGAAAGGGAGGTGGTATTTTGGGCTTCTTCTGGGTTAGGATGAAGTGACAACAGAAGCCAGAGGATTTTAAAGGCTTGTTCATTGTTAGGTATAAAGGCTGAGGATGAAAGAATATTGCTGGTCTGACTCATTCTGGACATCTCTTGTAAAATGGCCGAATCAGCCCCTGGGATCGGAGGGACTCACCCAGGCTTCAATGGGGCTGGACATGACTTCCTGCTATTCATGTAAGTAAAAATTCACTTTCCTCAGAAGAATTACTGATTGAGCTTTTTACTCCATTTTCCTATCATTCACTGAAGTTTCTGAGACAACAGAGAACTTTGGTAGCAAGATGATGATCTTGTTATTTTCAGAAATGTCACTGAGTACATCATGTATATATTTTTTTCCTCAAAGAGCCGAGGTACTAATACCATGGAAAATGGCTGCTTCAATAGTGGAAGGAGATTCATGAAGACAAGATTCTTGTGTGTACAAAGGCCTTGGGACACGTTCTTCATGATTGCTCAATCCTATTAGCAGGTTTATTAAATGAACAGGCATTATCCAGGACTCTGACACCTCCCGGGGATGCCTACAACATCCAGAAAGTTCCCTCTATCCCTGAGGAGATCTCGACAAGCTCTTGCCTACCAGTCTACCATTCTCCATTGAGACAGGGAAAGCTAGGCATAGTTATGTAATAATTTTTTCCTGAGAAAATCCCCCATTTTCAAAGATAGCTTTTAAAATTTATATAATGGTTCTGATGAAGCCATTAGGAACTCTCCAAAGCCACAGCACAGTTTCCTCACCCAGGCTTTAATTTCTGACTCCGTCTAAACCACCTCAGCCGCACAATTTTAGATAAAAATGGAATCGAGGGACAGAACATCTCCACTGCAGTTTTAGTTACAATGATGACTGTGAAGAAAGATGGATTTCTTAGAGGTATAACATCCCATTCAAATTTCTTCTACCAAACTCAGTTTCCCAAAATCTGAACAAGACTCTCAAATGGGGGACCATGGACCTGGCTGAATAGCCCGAACTCTTCATCAGCTCCAGATAGTCTTTAAAGGGTGGGGAAGCACCTCCTGCTTATGTGACATTTGTGTCTGTTGAGATGACATCTCTGGAGAAGAAAAGTGGCCTGACTGGGCACAGAAATGACATATAATATTCCAGGATTCACTAACCAGCCAGAGAAATCATCCTGAAATGATGACTCAGTGACAACGCTATATGCACAGATTTAGGAACTTGGGGAAAAAAAGGATAGTCATCTTTTTTTAATGAGGACTAGTTTACTAAAATTGATTTTAGATGCCTCTTCACCGAGTTTGACAAATGAAGCACACTGGTTCCAGGAGGGAGGCACTTGCTCTTGGTAATATTACTTATGCTTTCTTCAAATTCAGCACTTTTATTTTAACTTAAATCACTTCATTCCTGGGGGAAAAATGCATTTTATGACTACAGAAAATAAGATGGAGTCATAGAAGGGTCTATTTAAGATATAGTTATATAAGAAAAGCCAGGACTGGCATAATCAGGGGCATTTGGAGGACATACATACCGGGGTGAGAGAAATTCCTTATAATGATTGGTGACAAAACTACAGGCCTCTGTAACATTTACCTATGGGTCTTATCCAGAAGAATGAAATTCTAACCTCTGCTCTAAAATTCTATCTTATTTCCTCACAAGTTATTCTCCAAAATCTGGACTAGAAAACAGTTTGCTGCACTTACAATTCTTTGTCACCTAGAACTCTGAAGAATCAGATCTTAGGGCTCTTAGAATATTAATCATGAAATTGAGTTTTGCTGAAAGTTCTGCACACTGTCTAAATTTCTATCTTATTTCCTCACAAGTTATTCTCCAAAATCTGGACTAGAAAACAGTTTGCTGCACTTACAATTCTTTGTCACCTAGAACTTCTGAAGAATCAGATCTTAGGGCTCTTAGAATATTAATCATGAAATTGAGTTTTGCTGAAAGTTCTGCACACTGTCTAAATTTCTTCCTTCTTTTTAAATTGAGAATACTAAGATGTTCCTATCAGAGCAGTAATATAGTCTGGCAGGTAAGCAATCTGCCAGTAGTCAAGGATCTGTATTCCAGCTCTTTCACTCATTAGCTATGCCACCTTGGGCATGTTAACCTCTCAGACCCCAGGTTTTATTTCTGTAAACTAGAGACAGTGGTATCACCTACCTCAGGGCACTGATATCAACAATAATAATACCTAATAGTTATTGACCATGGACAATGTAAAACACTTTCTAAGTTTTGTAAGTAATTATTTAACCAACACACTATTTCATTGAGTTGGGCACTACTATCATCCTCATTTTATACAAATGAGAAAACAAGCACAGAGGAACTATGATTTTATTTAAGCCAGAATTTGAATGCAAACCATGGAACTACTGGGGCATGCTGTAGAGCATACCGTGTGAATGGGCCAACACAGCATGCTCAGCACAGTGACCGAAATGTAATAAAAACCCAATAAAATTTTTGCTACAATTAAGGCTACAATAGCATCAATGAATGTAATAACACTTTTTAAAAACATTAGAACCTATGAAATGTTTAGTGTGAGAGATTCTGTTATTGAACGCAGATCGTGAGATTTGCTTACTTTTGTAACCTCAAAGTCTTCTTTTGTTTGTTTTGAGACAGAGTCTCCCTCTATCACCTGAGTAGAGTGCTGTGACACCATAGCTCACAGCAACCTCAAACTTTTGGCCTTAAGTAATCTTTTGGCCTCAGCCTCCCAAGTAACTGGGAGTATAGGCACCTGTCACAACACCTGGCCAGTTTTTCTATTTTTAGTCAAGACAGGGTCTCTCTCTTTTCCTCAGGCTGGTCTTCCATTCCTTAGCTCAAGAAATCCATCTGCCTCTGCTTCCCATAGTGCTAGGATTACAGACGTGAGCCACCGTGGCCTCCCTAGCCTCAGCATCTTGTACAACATTTATAGCAGAGGCGCTGCATGTTGACTGAAGAATGATTCCATCATCAATCCAGTCAGAAAAGCTGACTCAGGACACGTACAACTGGTCTAAGCAAAAACATACCTAGAGCACAAATTAAAGCCACCTTCTGGCCTTCTATACTATAGGTTTATTCCTTATTATTAACAAGTCTTCATAAGACCATTATCTTTAGGCAATATAGAATACAAAATCTGTGTTGTACTCTGGTCCTTATTGAATAGTATCTAATAAGCAATAGTCTCCTTCCCAAATGGTGCGGACTGACGGACAACATAGAAAATTAAAGGTTGCGTTCCCCCTAACCAAGTCAAAACAAGATGCTGTAAAGTCTTAAGAAACCTGTGAGGTATCTGGTTTGGGAGAATCACAGATCATAAAATTCATTTCTAATTACACATGTGTATAGTGCAGTATTATAAGTAAGAAAATTAAAAGTTCATTATTCTTCTACTAGAGAAGAACACATTCCCTAGTAAGTTCTATAAGAAAGAACTTTTCTAAATGGCAGTATCATAAACCAAAGTATTAATTTTAGGGAATTTACTAAAATCACTATTTTAAAGATGAGAAAATCTGAGTGCGGAAAGGCTTCATGACTTGCTCAAGGTCACACAACCAATAAGTGGCAGAACCAAGACTGTGTCTCCTGATTCAGTGACATTTTCAAACATCTGAAAAGAAAGGTAGCCTTGGAAAGATGACATTTGAATAAGCACGTGAACAGCCAAGCTTCAGCACAGTTCAAATATTCAGAGTTAAGTGGCATTATGTAATCACACACATTTAAATGTCCTTCATAATTTTCAAATCACTTTTTCCTCAAGGACAAATCTTCATGAGATTGGTCCCATTTTTGAATGAGTGAATGAAAGAAGAAAAAAGATAATTACAATCGTGCTACTGAACAGAATAATTCTATGCAAATCAACAAATATTCTTAGAAAATTATTTTAATTGTATTTAATAAAACATTTGGAAAAAGAGGTAGTGGTGAATTATTACCGCTTAAATACTGACTATACTCAAGTCAATATTTCACATTTAAACTGTAGAGCTTGCAGCTGGAGGTCATACATAAGCCCAGACTTGATCTCACCCAATTTTCTGTTAAAGCTGAGGTGATAAAAACCTTTGCTTGATAACGATCTAATAGTTACACACACAAAGGGCTGTTTCTTTGGAACTACTGATGCTGGTGACAGATGGGAGGTCTTGTAAAGAGGAAATGACATGCAGTAATTACCTGGGCATGTACAGGACTCTCTCCGCCACCACAAAGCCCACCCTGAAGAAGAGATTGCTGGCTGGGATGAACGGGAACACCAGGAACAGCAAGCCCACGAGGACCTCGTTGTGCTCCAGTCTCTGCAACATACAAGAGTGAAGGGCCAATTAATTTTTGTTCACTTCCCCACCTCAGGTCGCATTTAGCCATCTTTTCATTTTTAAGCTCTCAATGGTGGAATGAATACATTGGACCAATATAAACATTTTGACCAGGGTGCTGAATTTAACAGAGAAAGCCCACAGGCTGAATTCATGGCACATCATAACACTCACATGTGCCCCTGGCACACATTTGCCACCAGAAAAATGAAGAGATCAGCACAAGATGATCAGTGACCATTACCCCCTGTTCTGGGCTGGCCCTCCAGCAACCCTACTTTTGTATTCTGGAAACTTTCAGAATCCCTGTCTCCTCAAACTCCTCATTTCCAGGGAACAAAACAATTGGATAAAGTCAAACACAGTAAGGCAGAATTTAATTACCATCTTCCCTGCAATAAAATGCTTTTTTTTTAAAAAAAAGTTTGTCAGAACAAGTTATTTATTTTAATAAAACACTTAAATGCTAATGATGAAATTTGGGACACAAATGAAGATGGTAGTCACTTAAACTGAAGCACATCTTAACACCTCTAATAGTCTGGTAAACAAGTATTTATTCAATACTTTTTTTGGAATAAAAAAATTATTATGGGTGGCGCCTGTGGTTCAGAGGAGTAGGGCACCGGCCCCGTGTGCCAGAGGCGGCAGGTTCAGACCCAGCCCTGGCCAAAAACTGCAAAAAAAAAAAAAATTATTACAATAATTCATTGACAAGGAATCTTATTCTGACATTGTATATATTAATTTGTAGATTTTTTTGTCACTAATAAAAAACTTTTGCTTACTGCTGCTAATAATATGTTGTAATGAGCATTCTAAAAAATAGTTTATATTTCCTTGTGTATATAGCATAGCCACATTTGAAGAAAGTTCTATTTAAAACAGACTTTATTGGCAAAGCCTGTGGCTCAGTAAGTAGGGTGCCGGCCCCATATACTGAGGGTGGTGGGTTCAAATCCAACCCCGGCCAAACTACAACAATAGTTGGGCATCATGGTGGGCACCTGTAGTCCCAGCTACTTGGGAGGCTGAGGCAAGAGAATTGCCTAGGCCCAAAAGCTGGCGTTTGCTGTGAGCTGTGATGCCATAGTACTCTACCGAGAGCAATAAAGTGAGACTTTGTCTCAAAAAAAAAAAAAAAAAACCTTTATCATATTAGGTAATATTTTAAGAAGAAAATTAAGAAGTACTTTCCATATTACATTTTGTACTGTTTCCTATAAACATCTAAAATTGTCTACTACTTTTACTAATTAGAAAAGAATAAATATCAGAATTTCACAAATATAAATAAAACTCTCCAGTAGAAGCTATAAATGCTTTAAATCGACAAAGTAAAAGATTTTAAATGCTTTAGGATATTTGTGACCAGGATGTTATTAAAAACTTTGTTTTACTAACTACAACATTAAAATTAATAAAATTTCTGAGAGAAATTCCATATGTCTTGGACAGCTTCCATTAAGTACCTAATGGTCCTGTAAGTAATGATCTCATTTCAGGAAACATACCCTCTACCATTAAAAGAAGGAAGGGAAACTGGTAACATAACACGCCCTCAACTCAAGTGGATACGTGAGCACGTTACATGTGTATGATTGAACAAAACGGACCCAAAGAAGTTTTTAAAAAGAGCAGACTCATTTTATTTAAAAACCGCAAGCTCTGTCTGTAATTCTGATTGTACTTCCCATTTTACAAAGCACACTTCACTTTCAGAACTTCAAGTACATAATTAAAAAAAAAAAAAAAAGACAACCTCTTCACAAGAATCCTGTCACATCAAGATCAAGTACTTCTTGCTGATACTGAACATAAACCCAGAAGTGTGAGTGACCTGCCACGCCTTCCTCAGGAACTCTGGGCCCATCATTGAGCAGCACCTGGATGTGTGCACCTTTCCATAGGTGCATTTTTGGCTTTTAGAAATAGGTGGTTACTTCTTCTGACTCTTCAAAAGCTGCAATTTTTTTTTTTTTTTTTGAGACAGAGCCTCAAGTGGTCCCCCTGGGTGGAGTGCTGTGGCATCACAGCTCACAGCAACCTCCAACTCCTGGGCTCAAGCGAGTCTCCTGCCTCAGCCTCCCAAGTAGCTGGGACCACAGGTGCTCGCCACAATGCCTGGCTATTTTTTGGTTGCAGCCATCATTGTTGTTTGGGGAGTTGGGGCTGGATTCGAACCCACCAACTTAGTTGTATATTTTTATGCAACCATTCATGTGTCCCCCCAAAGAGATTTCTAAAAAGAATGCAATGCAGCCTATTAATCCATCCTAAGAATTCAGAGTGTCGGTATAAACAGCACTCCCATCAGGCTGTCATCCATGTCCATGGACAGTGCTCTCTGGTTATTAGAATGGCCCCCATTGGGGACCTGAGAGAGGCATTCCTAATATCACATCCCCCAAATCATACCTTCTATCTTATCAAACACACTCACCTCCCTGAGTAAAGTGTGTATGGGGGAGGGGGTACGTGCATGTGTATGTGTGTGTCTGTGTGTGTGGTGTCTCTGACTCAACAGAGCCCCAAGTGCCAAGCAGCCATCAGGTTGAGAGGCACCTTCATCCTTGAGATGGTTGTCAGGTGCAAGCTGATGCCACCCTCCCTGCCCCCTCCTCACTCACAGCACCCCTGCAGTGGGTGGGATCCCCAGGGTGATCCCCCCCCCCAGTGCTGGGGACACCAAGCAGGGGAAGGTCAAGGAACACAAGCCTCCCCCAGAAGACCATGTGCAAACTGGAGACTCAGTGCTGTGTGTGTCCATCTGTTCCTCCACCAGCTTCTTCAGGTCCAGGCATGGTCTTTATTTCTTTCATGAAAATCATCCCAGTTGTAATCACACATTCACGTGTAACTTTCCTGTCATTACTGCCTCACTAGCCTGGAGCCCCAGGGTCAGCAAGCTGGGCAGCTGTGTTCCCTGCTGGCTGTGTGACTTGTGCTTAGCTCAGAACCTGGAGTAAACGTTTGCTGAATGAATCAATTAAGTGATAAATACACCAGGCAGGAGAGAAAACCGAGTAGAAGAAGGGAAGAGGGAGAGAGGGCTCTGTGGTCAAGGTAACATTTGGGCTTGAAAAATAAATAACTGCTTACAAGGCAGACACATTTGGGAGAGAGGAGGTGGCCATGGCTAGGTACATTCCCAGGAAAAGATATTTCTGTATCCCATGGATCACCAATGTGACAAAATTGGCTAAATAATTTATGGCTTCTTTCAGCCTAATAGACTGAGATGGAACTCCAAAAATATGTAAGGGGGGAGGGAGAAATTCAAGGTATTTTCCAAAGTATAACCAAAGCATTCATTCTTAGGAAAAAGGACAAATGGGAATTTACTTACTCCAAATTATATTAGGGAGGGAAGAGACATGAAAATGAAGAGAGCTTCTAATACAGCCTTTATGATTTGTGCTATTTGTCTGATTAACCGTGTGACTTCAGACAAATTAATTTACTTCTCTGAGTTTTAATCTGATGACAGGTTAGAGATAAAGAAAGAGAATCACTCCCTATTGCGTCTGTAGGAAAAATGCATGACAGAGTCACTATTGCAGGTGTGAGATTTTTCTTTTCTGGGCTGGGAGGAATATGGAAAAGCACCCCCCTGAGTTGCAAACAGGTACAACTTTTGCCTCAACACCCTGTTAGGTAAGTGCTGGCAAGTCACTCACCCCCACTGGCAGAGCCACACAGGGAAGAGGAGGGACTTTCCCAGAACCGCAAAGGGCCTCCGAGGAAGTCCAGCTCCAGAACTCATGTCTAGCCTGCAGCTTCTGGTTTATTTCCCCCCTTTCGTACTCCCAACTCATCTTTCAAAGGGCAGGTCACAGATGAACCTGCGCACACGGAGATACAGCTGTGCACTCTGTCCAGCAGGGTGGGGCGAGAGGTAATGATAAAAGGATTCCTCCCTGCCCGAGTCAGCAGCACTGTAGGCTGCTCACTTCCTGGAGGTGAAAAATAGGCTCACTCCAGTCATTATCATCACCATTACTATTATAGTATTATTTTCCTACCTCTGAAACAGGTTTCAGAGAAACGGTACAAGGCATTTCCAGCATGAGTGTGTTCCCATGGTTCTATGAATTGCACAGTTATATTTCAATCCTAAGGATTTATTTGGCAGCCCTAGGATCTAGCTGTCTGCATCCAATTTATCAATCTAGAGGGAGGCTGGCAACAGTAACGCTCCCTCCTTCAGCCCTGGGATTAAGGTATCTGCTATGCTGACAACTGGTGTGGGTGAACACTGAATAGGCTCTTTTTCTTCTATATACATCTGTGTATGGGTCTACTTCCTCTGTTAGACTAGGCATTGATTCCCTGATGGCAGTCATCAATGCATATTTACATTTATCTAGATCAGCGGTTATCAACCTGTGGGTCGCGACCCACAGGAAATTATTAAAGGGCCGCGGCATTAGGAAGGTTGAGAACCACTGATGTAGATGCTGGCACAAGGCTCCTACTGCTATCTACGGGGAATTTATAGTGGAGCCTCCATGTGAGAAAATCCGAGGTGTATTTAAAATATCATGAACTTTGACTCCCAGAAAGCCCTTTTGCTTAGTGATGCTATCAACCCGATGGTACTGTAGACAGCATCAGATGGATGGGGAACTGATCTCATCTTCAACACTCTAACTCCAAAGCCAAGAAGAACACTTTCAAGAGCAAAATAAGTAGTGCCAAGCTGGAGGAAGCAGAACAGAGAGAGCCTGGCTCTTTGAGATGACAGAATCCTGCCTCCCTTCCACACAAATGTACTTTTAACTTCTTCTTCCTGGGATGCCCACTGAGCCCCGACCTGCCCTGCCCTGTTGCCTACTTGACCCTCCCTGCTGTGTCTGTTTTCCTTTGAATTTCATCCGCTCCCCTCCTTCAACTCTGTCTGGCAGTGGCCGAGTCCCCTGTCTACAGGCACAGCTCCTATCTGGGTTTTCTCTCCAAGGCTCCAGCTCGCACCAGGT